CCCTCCCCTGTCACGGCAGAGAGCCGTGACAGGATCGAGAGGTGAGCAAACGCCGGTATATGTTCGCTCACCTTCCGATCTACTGAGCCGACCTGTGACAGTCTCATTGTCACAGGTCGGCTAGAACTATGAGGTGAGTGAAAAGCACTCCTCATAGTTCTCCTTTAATTTATAGAACTTATATACCATATTGCTGTTTAAACGAGGACGTTCTCAAACAGTCCTCATTGCCGCACAGCAACCACATGAACACGGAAAGAGAACGGCGTAATAATTTCCACTGGGCTGGCATTCGCTGACGCATTAATTTAAAAGCTTTTAAGAGTTTAATCTCTCAGGGGAGGGATCAGTTCAGAGATAATTAAGACCTTCAATATGGAATGAGTACGGAGTATAGACGGATGAAGGATTCACTATGTAAGCAGCAAAATAATACACATCTTTGCACATCTGAGAATGCTTTTTAATGCTCAGTTCAGTTCCTAAAGATCCTAAAGATCAGTGTGAAAAGGGACTCTGCACTTCCTGACATATTAAAGCACTATCTAAATCCAAAAACAAAAATGTTCTTGGGTTTATATTGCAGTTTACCAGTCCTTCGATATGGTGGCTGCATTCGTTTTCAGGCTTTTTATCCCTTTCACCTGGTGATCCTGCAAACAATGCACTCCCTGTCCTAGGGTGACAACACTGTATCTATGGAAGATTAGTGTTGTCACCCTCGGAAAGAGGGTGCTTTAGGACTACAAAACACCTTCCTCTCTCCTTATCGCCATAACATAGGGAGTAGGTGATGTAAGATGTGAAGAGGGCATTGCTTGAGATAACACTGCAGAGAGCTCAGGAAGGAACAAATGTACATCTCTCAAGTTTTTGAGATTATCTTTATTCCGCAGTGCATCCCCTCCTCTCTTTTTCTGCCTGGCATGAAAGGAGGGTCAAATTTCTGGTCCTTGAAGACCACTGCTCTTCACTGCATGTCTGTGGACACCGATAGCGCCCTTTATTAGATGGCATAGTGATCATGTGATCGTTGCCTTCATTATCTCTGCATGTCCCCTAGTTATTCTGTTATAGATGGACCTGTGTGCTCTATCTTTGGAAACCTTGTTCCTCCCTTTTCTACACCCTAACATCTTATATGCCCTAAGCATTGCTCCTGCAAGTGGTCCTGGCCGAGAGGTTGAAGCGTAGGTTTGTAGCCATCAAGAGCTGATTTGAAGGTGATGATGGAAGCTAAAATAAAGACTGGTATAGAATAATGGAACAAAAGAGAGTGAGGCCAAGTGTTCCTATGGAAGGTAACGGAATATACGCAAATTATGCACAATCGAAAATATTAATACAATGATGAATATAAGGTTGCCACTGAAAAAATCCAGCAGTGTGACCACTTTCCTATTAATAACATTACAATAAGTCCCATTTATACCGGCCAGGCCAGTAAAATTCCAGCAACCCCAGATAACTAGGATATGTCAGAAGTATCAGGCCCACTTTTAAGCTGAGCCTCAGGAAAACAGCTAAATACACAAATAAAATACATATTAGGGAGCGTTTGTATCTGCCAAAGGACTTGTGTCTCTGTCCATCCAGTTCTGAGGTGTACACAGATTTGCCACACAACATAGCCCTGCCTGAAAAAAGGAAAAGACTGTACTTTACTCTGCTGCAGTTAGTTCATTCTTACAGGTCTTGCCCCTCCCCAGCCTGTGACTGTACAGTGGGTCCTCCCTACAGCTCTGCTCTATGCATAGGCTATGTACAGGACAGTGACGATGTCACTTCTACTTTTACAAGGTAACATCTGGGTTCACAAAGACATCACAAACAGTATAACTATATTCTTTGTGTCTTTTTAAAAAAAATATTTAAATTAAAATTCGTGTGTCTGTTTATTTCATATGTCATTTGTTTGACCACATTTGCAGGAGACGCAAGAACTGCAAGCTCAGGTTGCCCAATCCCAAACGCTTGTGTTACGGCTGGAAGATGAGTTGCGCTGTATTAGCCGAGGAGGTCCAGCGCTGGTGGAAGCTGTGCAGAGAATACAGGAGGCCAGTGAGGCTGAAGTAAAGCGTCTACAAAGTGAAACAGAAAGCTTTTACAACCAGAATGTGAGTGTGTATAAAAAGCATATAGAGTGGGAAGGTATGAACTGAATGCATAATGATGGATGATTTGCATAGAAGTACGTAAGATCGTGGAGGGATAGAACCTGCAATCTGTCTGCACTGTGCCTTGGAATGGTAAAGATGACTATAAATGGTTCATAACAAGATGCTCCTCACTTTCCAGTATTGGGAAGTTTTGTTGTGATAGAAGGGAAGAGCTCCTTGGGGAGTCTGTTCTGTCCCTGCTACATGAAATGTACCCTGTCTTCTGTGGATAGCTCGACATGCTAAACCCTCCTGTTCTTCAGTAAGCCAGACCGAGTTAAATCTCTGTACTTTATTAACAAAACAGGGTGGGGTGAAACTGGTGATAAAGAACATAGAAACATACAATCAGTATATAAAATATGTAAATATAGTGTTAGCTCACAAATACAGAGAAAAAACTGTCTATTCATGCCAGCGCGGCTGCCTAAGAGGGAGTTGGGCTCTTTCCTCCAGAAACATGCTGCTGATGGCATTGGATTCTCTGCTCCTCCCAAAATGCTCTTATTTCCTTCTCTTTGGACAAAGAGGATGTTAGGAGTTTACCAAAGAAAAAACAGTCTAAGGCCCCATTCACACTGAGCGACATGAAAATCACGCGATTTTCCGCGCGATTTTATATGTGCGATATTGCGCGACGTCGCGCGACTTTTTCCTATTGGGCTGTATGCAATCAGGAGCAAAATCGCTCGAAATCCGCAGAAAAAAGGGTCATGTAGGAGCGACAAGCTACAGCGACGAGCTACAAGCAATATTGAGCGGCGAGATGTGAGCAGCTCCATTGAAATGGATTGGAGAAGCTACATAGAGCGATATCGCGTGGAAATATGAGCGATATCGCTGCAAAAATCGCGCGATAAATCGATCAGTGTGAATGGGGCCTAAGCTGCTGTAAATAGAGATGTTTCTCTTCAGCTTCATCTTGTGGCTGATTTTGAAATGACAGGTAGGTACGCCTATAATTTCTACATGCCAAAGGCAGAACAGGGTCACCTGTGAAAGTTGGAAGGTCTCCTTGTGACGAGGGTTGAACTTTCCCTCTGCTATGGAGTGAAGGAAATTATGTAATGTTGTGTGAAGCCTCAGGAAGACGATGTGTCCCATTGCTCAGTAAGATTAGTCAGATATCCTCTGCCTAAGATATATATGTTCATCTATGGCCAGCCTAAGATACATATTTAAAGTGGACCTTTCAGGAACTTTATAAGTCTGCACAAATAAAGTCCTGACATGTCACAATATACAGCAACAGTATTTTTTTTTTCAAAATATATCTACATTTTATCATTACAAAGCTATCCTTTAGCTCCAGTCCTGTGACTTTCCTGGGCTGAGAGGATGTCATCGGTCTTCTGCAGGCAGGAGGAAGCGTTTCCTCACTCTCCCCTCCCCCAGTGATCAGATGCAACGTTGTAACTTTGTAACAAGTCACAAGGTGAGAGGCTGCAGCACGGGCTGATCTGTCTCAGACAATTGTGAGCACAGCCAAGAACTGCACAGGCACCGGGATTTACATGATTGTGTCATCTCTGAGCCGGCACCAAAGTCTAGGAAATAGATGGTGTCTCTGGATGAAACCTGAACCATAATGGCTCTCTCCTACCAGGGAAAAAAGCAGATGAAGACATTGTCAGGGGGAGTCCTGTGATCCCTGTGAAAGATAATAAATACCTGGAATTGTTACACTGACACATTAAATAGCATACATGGTGAATACCATTAAATGGGGGTTGGGTTGCTCCTTTTAAAGCATGAATAGTACTGACTCCTACACCCACCATTTTGACTTTTAGGGGAACCTCACACATTTTTTTTTCCTCTTCTGCAGACTGTAAAAAAAAAAAAAAAAAAAAGTAGTTTTTGTTTTTCTTTTGTCTAATGTCACTTTGCTGCAACGAAAATTCGTCCATAATGGAAATTCGTATATATACTGCCGCTAATTAATTTTCGGATTTTGTCCGAATCCCGAAACTAATTGACTTTCGGACCCGAATGCCAAAAAAGGAATTAACAAAAAATCCGAATGAAGAAGAAACTAAACAAATTTTTTTTGCCGGCGCACATGTCTAGTGTTTATTCTACCGGCAGACCGCATCGTTCTTTAAATGTCCATAGTTCCACTTGAAATCTTTTCTGCTGCATTTTGCCCTTCGCACACCTTTGCAGAAGCACATTTCACGATGACAGGTGCACAGGTCGGCATACGAATGACCCTTTTGATAGGTTCATGGGCTGCGACGTGCTCTCCCCTCCGGAGTAGAGTCAATTATTTATATATGTCAGTTTATGAACAGCACGAGGAACCCTTCCCTATAGACTGACAGCAGAACTGCTAATTTTAGCTCTCTGTCGTTTCCCATGAAGCTTTGTTATGTAAGCGGTTTGTGTCACAGCGAGGCAGGGTGAGCCCTTCCTAATAGGAGATAAACTGTGCAACTGCATTGTGCGCTCTCCTGCTGCTTAATAGATGGAGACGATAGAGGGAACGGGGAAATGGAGGAGAGCGCCAATCTCGCCAACCCACGTCCTTGGCTTCGGTGCGCCAATGTATCTACTGAGAATGAAGATTTAACCATCTGAGTGACAGTGTGCCTCTCTGGTAATAGACGGAAACATTGCCTTCTTTAACCTCTTTAACCCAGCGGATCTTTCAGCAACTTTACAAGTCTGTATTAAAAAATTGTAACTGATACAATGTATACGTTGTAACAATCTAATAGTATCATTTTTTTAAAAAGCTGCACCTTTTCTCATTTAGGCCTCATTCACACGAGAAAAAGTCGGCATGTACAGCTCCGTGCTGCATGCAGGGCCGTATCGGGCATCTCCCGGGAAGGACAGGGGCTGCGTGTAATTAGTATTCAGCCCCGTCCTTTTCTATGGGAGTACGAGGCCGTATGCCGCCCTACGCTCACACCAAGTGCAGGTCCGTACGGGTGCGGGTGTCCTGGCTCGGACGCAGACAGGATCCATCCTGTCATCGTACGAGTATGGACACCCGTACCCGCACAGACGTGCAGGGCGGGTGAGCGTAGGGCGTGTACGGCCTCGTACTCCCATAGAGAAGGACAGGGGCTGCGTACTAATCACACGCAGCACCTGTCCTTCCCGGGAGATGCCTGATACGGCCGTGCACGCAGCACAGAGCCTTACGTGCCGGCTTTTCCTCGTGTGAATGAGGCCTAAAGCCTAAGTTCACCTTTCTGACCATGTTTCATGTCACACCCATATTTACAGGGTAACATGAAACATGGTCAGATCGCCAGCCCCCTCCACTTAACTGAATCGCAGGGTTCTTCTCCCCGCAGGCTGCTTATGTTGTTTGAATGCGGCACACATGTACTTCCGACACATCATCTATTCCCAGATCCTTTGATAGGATTTGTGAATGGAGAAACTACAAGTTCTATCGGCCACCGCAGCACTTATAGCCCATTTATTCCTTCTCCCATCCCCATTACTGAATGTACGTGCCAAGGTACAAACATGGACGGGAGTAAAAGCCTGCAGGAGCCAGAGCATTGCATCTGTGATCTACTGATTGCAGTGGAAATGTATAACTGGCTCCAATGCAAAACATACTAAATACACATTTTTCTCTTTTAAGAAGAAGTGTTCATTTATTATTGGGTTTTTTCTTTCAAATAAAAGATGGAATTGCCCTTTAAAAAGCCAATCTTGAGGCCAAGTCAATGACTTTGCCTATGAGATGCAGTCATCAGTCTGCTGCAGGCAGGAGATAGCTTTTTCTCAGTCTCCTCTCCCCCAGTGATCAGACTCTACATTGTGACTTTTAAAACAAGTCACAAGGTGAGAGGCTGCAGCAGTGAATACAGCCAAAGATATACAGGTGAAACTCGAATAATTAGAATATCGTGCAAAAGTAATTGCAGTAAGTGCTGCAAAAGGGGCCCAAACCAAGTACTGAGTACTTATGCATGCTTGTACTTTTCAGAGGTCCGATATTGTTCTATGTACAATCCTTGTTTTATTGATTGCATGTAATATTCTACTTTTTTGAGGTTGTGGATTTGGGGTTCTTGGGGTTTTCATGAGCTGTAAGCCATAATCATCACAATTATGACAAATCACGGCTTGAACTATCTTGCTTTGCATGTAATGAGTCTATCTCATATATTAGTTTCACCTTTTAAGTTGCATTAGTGAAATAAATGAACTTTGCACGATATTCTAATTATTCGAGTTTCACCTGTATATGATTGGGTTATTTCTCAGCTGATATCTCAGTCTAGGAAGTAGATGATGATCCTGGATGATGCCAGAATAAAGATGGTGCCATCTCTCTGGAGCAAAAAGCAGATGAAGGCATTGTCATGAGGAATACTGCGATAAGGAATCTGTGCTCCTCCTTTTAAAGCATAAATAGTACTGACTCCTACACCCACCATTCCAACATTGTGTGACCCCCATAAGCTGTGCCGGTCCTTAGCTAACATAGAATGCTGGGGTCAGGGGGTGTCCTAATAACTAGTAACAAATCCCTGGTAGTGTCACATTTACACATTACTTAGCATGAAATGCTAAATCTGAGGCTAGGTCCATTTTAATGTAAATGTGTATTTACATTATAAAAACACTTTTCTATGTAGCTTACAATTACATTTATCCATTAGGCAGTTATTTTGGCTCATTACATATCCCAACAGAGTTTCCTGCTTTGTATTGCAGCACAGTGCTTGTGCTTTACTGTTCTCCTCTAGCACTGCTTTTCTTCCCTTCTGCTCAGAATATCATCTTTATGCGGCTTGTCATTGACATAAAAAATAAACCGGATGCGCTCTTGCACCGTCAGCTGGGAAAACCCACATTTGCATTGAACGGCAGCAGCTCCCTGTTTTATACGCGGCATTGAGCTCATCACAAGGTGCTGCAACAGATGGTGTCACAGTCGGAGAGAGAGACTGCAGTCTGATAGAGTGAAACAGCAAAATCTCTGAGTTCAAGAAAAATACGAGAAGTAAAGAGGCCCTGTCACCGACATTCCACTATGATATTAGTCAATGGCATACACATTGTATGGGTGGTCTTCTTCCCCTCTGAGATAAAAGGGACTCCCATGATAATGACCCACACATGGCCGTCTCTGCTGTCCTTTATACTCACTTATTACTGTTTATAATGCATTGTGTGATATGTGCAAGATGAGGTCACTACTGATTGTTCTGAGGGTAAAGATTGTTACTTTTCCTGTATCACCCTTTATTAATTCAATATTCAAAAATATTGTTTTTGTATGGAGAAAAAAGAAGGAAAGGGCAAGGTAGAATATAATTAATTGAATTACAATGAAATACTTTAATAGTACATATTGTTATGATTATTATTATTGTTATTATTATTTATATTATATTGTTATTAATAATAATAATAATAATAACAATAATATTGTTTTCTTATTTTTTGCTGTAACTTTCACATGTCTGTCTGTAGCATAGTGTATTTACTGTTGCTGCTGTCATTTCAGAGTATCCTAATTCAACCTGGTCAGACTGATAGATTTGCACAGATAGAAAGGGACAGTGAAGTGCAGCCACTGTACAGCACTGATGAGTAGGAAGCACAGGGTTCCTATGTAATGAGCACATACAGCATGTCCCCATGCACATTTTTATTTATGATTTACAGGCATTTATATAGCGCCAACAATTTACGCAGCACTATACAAACATTTAGGGGGTTATTCACGTGGTAGCCGAAGGATCCAGCCATAGCTTCGACTGATCCTTCAGCTCTCTTCGGCCGCCGGAGCCCTTCGGTTCAGTCGAACTGAAGGGCAGCTGTACGGGCTATTCACTATAGCCCATACAGTAGGCAAATGACAGCTGGGTGGAGCCAGCTGTGATCTCACGCCTGGCTCCGCCCAGTTGTAATGACAGATCAGCATCCCCAAATGACCTGGGGATGCTGAACTGTCATTAAACAATAACAACTGGTCGGAGCCAACGTGACATCACGGCCGGCTCCGCCCAGTTGTTATTCATTCGCCGGGACCTGCTAGAAGACTCTAGCAGGTACCAGCCAATAGGAAACAGTTGGGCGGAGCTAGCTGTCAGCTCCGCCCAATTGTTTTTTTTAATTATTATTTTTTTCTTTTTTTTTAAATCTTTATTTCTTTTTTAATTTAACTCTTTATTTACATTTTTTAAATATTTTTGTAACCTTTAAAAAAAAAAACTATTTTCACTTATTTGCTATTCTACTCGGTATTACGGAGGTACCAAGCAGAATAGCCATGTCCAATCCCGCCTGTGGCAGCTTTGTGAATAACCCCCTAAGGGTCCATTCATACCAGATGCATTGTGATGCATTTTTCAGTGCATTTCATACGCACAGCAATAACAAATACACGAAAATCAATGAGGCCAGTTTACACCAGTGCATTGCGTCGTGCTGTGCTTATCTGTGTGGGAAAAAAAGTAGAGCATGCTCAACTTTTTTATTTAATCGCAACATAATGTGCACAAGTGCGTGACAAATTGCACAAACGCAACGCGCAAAAAAAAGTTGCTAAAGAAACACAAAAACAAACGCAAAATAGAAATAAAAACGCATCACAGCATAGTGCAACGCAGCTAAGCACATGTAAAAACGCGCACCAGAGCATGCAGTGAACTTAACACATCACAACGCATTGCATGCTCTATGGTGTGAATAGACCCGTACATCAGTTCCTGCCTTCAAAGAGCTTATATACAAAGGTCTATATATCACATGCATACATATAAGGACCAATTTACCTTCCAGCATGTGTCTGGAGTGTGGGAGGAACCCCATGCAAGTACCGGGAGAACATGCACACTCCATGCAGGTAGTGTCCTGACTCCTGGCTGGGAGTTCAACTTAGGACCCCAGTGCCAGGAGGCAGTGCTAACCACTAAGCCATTGTGCTGCCCTGTGTATTGTTTAAAAACAAATGTTATAAAAAAGAAACACTTTACAAATCTTGATTGGATTGTCCTTTACAAAAGAAAAGTCTTTAAAAAGAGAATCAATTCTGTTTACACTAAAGACTCCAATATCCTCGGATACGACTCTGCTGATTACTTGGCAATGGCAGTGTTACTTTGTCTCATTCTGCTCTACAATACTCTGCTCATCAATCACATGTGACAAGCTTGTTTTTAGGAAGAGATTGTTCTTTTTAGGACATTGAAACTGAAATAAAATCTCCGTTACCAATGTATCAGTTCTGGTGGGTCTGGGGGAGTTTTTGTTCTTTTGTTACAGTGGTTCTGACGTGTACATCCAGAGTTCAGTATGGGCTGTGAAGTCAACCACCAGACTTTACACCAGTATGATAGCAGATAGCTTGCGTTTGAAGTTTTTGGTATAGAGCAGGCCAGGTACAAAGTCATGCAAAGCCATGCAGTAGAATAGTGTAGCAGGTATTGCCCAGGATGCAGGCAATCACCCATAGCAATGTAGGTATTAGATAGCTGTCATGTAATCCATTTGGCCCTTCCAGTCCCTTCATCCTTGGTACTTGACTGCTATAAAGAGCCTCTCCTGCTGTCTGTTGGCGTTCCACAGAAAAGTTGCCTGGTGCTTTGGTTTTGGTGCTGCAGGAGTGAGACCTCCAATCTTGAACCACATGCTCCCAGAGAAATCAAAACTGTCAAACTGTTTCTGTACTAAAGAAGTATGTCATGCTGATCCAGTGGTTTCAATTCTATCAAGCCGGGGCTGCTGCTAAAAACAGTTACAATTCTAATTCTAAAGGAGGTTTTACACCAAATCTAATAGATATCTATTTGGTTATAGTTACCTGAGTCCATTTAAATTTCCATTCCTTTCTTCTAATCCCCGATGAAGGGGGAGTTTTGTAGTCCTGAAACGCATTGGCTCTTTTTATGTGACGGTGTTACAAACAATTAAAGGCGCTTTGGACTCTTTCATGTTGCGGTTTGGCATCATTCTGTACTTCTATACTTTGGGTTGCTTCTAGATACCCATTGAGGGAGGCCTATGTGTTTGAGAGCTGCCTTACCAGACCCAGATAGCTTGTTTCTACATTTCATTGTGTGATTTCACTTAACTGAAATAAACACTGAAATCTCAGCATCTCTTAAATGTGTTTTTTTTGTTTGTTTTATTCCTGTCCATACCTTTCTTATCAGGTGACAACCACCTTTTCCTTGGGCAACACAAGGACAGAGAGGTGAGGAAAAATCTCTTCAG